TCTCTCTCTCTCTCTCTCTCTCTCTCTCTCTCTCTCTCTCTTGCCTTCCCCTGTCTGAGAGTGTTTCTCCCTCCACAGTACAAAACTTGTTTTGCCTGCTTCATTAGCGTTGGTCCAATTAGCCGTGAGGCTGATGGAGTCCTGACAGGCCCTGTGATTGGAGATGACAAGCTCGGGGTGCCCAGCCCAATGAGGTTTGCCACCACTTTGATGTAATCAACTTGATATTACACAGAGCCGCTCGCCTTTGGTTGTGCTGTAACTCAATTTTCCGCTGCAGGTGACAAATGGGCCTGCCTACCTGGGTCAGGTCTGAGTGCTCTTAACAACCGAGGGCAGCTGGCCACGTAAACAGCCCAGCAAACATGAGAAAGGGACTCTCCCAGCTGTGGAAACACAGAGACCTACTTCCTTCATGGCTGCCGATTAGCTTCGCCGCAAGCCAGAGGCCTGATGCTGTTGAAAAGGCCGCGGAAAGTAAAAATGCTCGGCGGACTTAACAGGAAGTTGACATCGGCTTAACAACGTGTGGGCAAAGACGCGGCCACTTCGCTGGAATGTCTAACCTGGACAGTGTTTCTGCAGAATGGTGCCAGTGTGTTTACGGTGTGTTGCATGTGTCGGTGCACTGTCAGGCCTTGTTGTAATCTGGTCATCTGTGTGTGCATAAGGGGAGGGGGGGAAAAGGGGGGGGGGCGGGGGGGGGGGGGGCACAGCAACAGTCTCTTGTTTCTGCGGGGTCAGGATTATCGCTGCCAGACTGGCAGCCATCACTCATGTCTGTCTCTGAGTGTGTGTGTGTGTGTGTGTGTGTGTGTGTGTGTGTGTGTGTGTGTGCGCGTGTGCGTGCTAACATCAGTGGGCATGAACTTTCTGATTTGTTTGGTTGGTGTGTGTGTGTGTGGTTTGGCTTGTGATGGTGATAGTGATGAAAGGAATTGTAACTGTAGACCACCTGCCGGGGTCAGGCCATAATTCTCTGAGCTCTTTAGGCCCGTCTACGTTGTGCAGTTTCTTCTTCTCTTCCCTTCTCGCTGTCTTTGCACACCGCCTATGCAGCGCACGTAAATCCCGACATAGAAACACTAGCCATAGCACACAAACGTGCAGTGTTGGCGCTAGTTAAGATACGAGCTTTCACAGCACACATTGCAGACACATGCGCACATGTTGTGACCAGATTGTAAAAACTGGCAAGTGAAATGAAGTAAGCTGTTTTTTTTTATATATCGGTCTGCCTTCCTGTTGTTTATGTGTGAAAAGCATGGCCTTAACTGAAGCAGCAGGGGAGCACGAGTTCGGAGTTAATTGTTCCGCCGGCATACAGCGCTAGCTAGCTTTAACAACAATGCGCCTCCGCTGGCGATGTTTGCAGGTGCGGCAAATGTTTTGGCCTTGCAGGCCCCGTTGCTAATGAAAGTCCTATGGCTGGATTCCGGTGCGGTTGAGTCATGTCTGTGATCTATGTGTCTGATAAGTGCATACCTAATGAGGCTGTGAGCACCAGTGGGAGGAGGAGGAGGAAGGCTGACAGAGTGTTTCCCACAGGTATTGACAGATGCCTTTTTGTTTTTGCCATAGGCCCTGACTCCATAAATCCTGCCTGTGTAATGATAACAGTGCCACCCTGCCAGCGAGTGAGTGAAAGAGACAGTGTAAGAGAGAAAGAGGGCAGAGGGGGAGGAAAAGGAGGAGGCGCTGGTGGTGGGGACGATGAAGAGCGGGGGCGGTGAAATGGGCCTTCGCTCCTTTTTAACACACACTTGGCAGATGTCAAGCCATAGGGTTGGGCTTCGGGAGAGAAAGAGGAGTATAAGTGCTGTAGTAGTGTCACAAATAGAAAACCGTTAGCCATCCACTCTTCCCTTTCAGCTTTCAGTGTGCTTTCAGCCGGGACTGCTGTCTGGGCACTGAGTCGGAGGCTTTGTAAAAATAGTTCCACCGCTGTTGTGATAGATGCAGCTGCACTGTAGCGACAATTGGGACAGGCTGGATCCCTCCAACCCCACCTCCCACCCACCCTCTCTCTCTCTCTCTGTCTCCCACTCCTAGAGGTAGCGAGCCTCAGAGCCTGGTGGGATGTGTGCTCTTTTTCGGGGGAAACTGAGCTGCTCCGGTCTTCAGGGGTCCTGAAACCCAATCCAGGAGGAGAATAGCGCAGCCATGCCAGAGAGCCGATTTCCTTTTCAACAGAGTCATTTATCACTGACCCACCCTTCGCTTCTGACACGGTGACGTGTGTCATTTATCAAACAGGCTTTACCAGACACACAGAAGGGAGGTGGATAGGGGGCAGAGAGGAGGAGAAAGAGAGAGTGAAAGAGGGGGGGAAACTAGACAGAGAGAAACAAAGAGAAGGAGAGGAATGGAGAATGAGGTGCGGAGTAAATGTGGAGCTGGGGAAAGAGACTGCCGTTTGTGTGTGCGAGAGTTTTTCCAGGGAAGAGTGAGTCCTGAAACCCTTGAGGAGAAGCGTTTGGGAGGGGAGATTTTTTGGAGATGACAGGGAGGATTGAGTTACACTGAGTTGTGTTTTGATGAGTGACAGAATGTTCTTCCGTGAGATGCCTCACAATGTCTGAATGAAGAGGAGAAATATGCTTTGTGAGTACACAAAGTCCGACAAGTGTGTTGGTGTTGTTTACTCATAATATATGCTCAACGGACAGTCATAGGGGCGCCGTAGAGGTGTGTGTGTGTGTGTGTGTGTGTGTGTGTGTGTGTGTGTGTGCACGCACGCACATGTGGCCATATGGCGTCAGTGTTTAATGCTGTGCGTGTGTGTGTGTGTGTGTGCTGCTGCCTGATGAGCAGGGCTGACAGGTATCACTCATGCAGCAGCCTGGCCTTTAAATGAACCCGAGCTGCTCTGCTCCCCCGTGGCCCTAACAGGCTCTCTCCAAGATGGATGCTTCTTTAAAAATCAGATTAATGATGGATACCAGGCTTATAGTGCCATTTATCATGAAGAATATTATTTAGGCCGGC